CCTCCTCCTCCTCCTCCTCATCCTCCTCCTCCTCCTCCTCCTCCTCTCTCCCTCTCCCTTCTCCCTCCCCCCCTCCCCCCTCCCCCATCTCATCCCTCTCCCTTCTCCCTCCCCCCCTCGCTCGCCGCCGACCCCTCCTCGCCCCTTCGCTCGCCGCCGACCCCTCCTCGCCCCAGGCCTGCTTCAGAGGCTTTCCTCGAGAGGGTGAGGGTAGGTCCCTCAACACAGCTGACGACTCCCTGCGCTGCCACATCATCAACATCATGATTTTGGCCAGAACGTTGCCCCAAGAGATCGCCACCCAATCCCCGAGACTGGTGTTTTATCTTCAGTAGTTGTTGGACGGTCCTGGGGCCCGGCGAGGGCCCCCAGGTGCCAACAAAAAGCAAGTCACCTACACGAGGGAACCAAGGTTTTCGGTCTGGTCAGGGCTTCCCTGCCAGGCTGCTGTGCTTCGGGACCCCAACATCGCGTGGCGACGGACCACATTGTGACTTCGGAATCGCCGGCCACCGCACGGTTTTGGGACCCTGGAGGCCCCGGTTGCGACCTCGGAGAATAACCCGAGTCCCAAAACCGTGCAGTGACCCCGAGTCGGCACTGCCTCAACACGTGGTGTGGTCCCCACGCCGTTTTCGGGAGCCCCAGACTCTGGACGTGGCCACAAGGGGGCCCCCCGAAGGTCACCTACCACTGCCTCAACTCAACCTGTTCTGGATGGCTTCTCGGTCTGGCCAAATGACCTTGTCTTTTCTTGTCCCGGTATACCCGGGCAAGAAAAGACAAGGTCATTTGGTCAGACCATTATAATTTATGGTCGTTACCTGGGGGAGGAGCGGGGCGGTCGGGCGGGAGGGTGACGGTAACGGCAGCCGCGGCGTGCACCCGCCAGGGTGCGTCCGCGCCACAGGCGCATCCATCGCCTGTGTGCACCACAGCTTCAGCATGTGTGGGGGGGGATCCAGCCCCCCCCCCCAACACGATCGCTAGCGTTACCCCTGGGAGGTGGGGAAGGGGGCTTGGCCTGGGCAACTACACGAGCGCTACCCTGGGGAGGAACACCAAAACCGCTCGCCGAGGCTTCCCCCTGCCGCCCCGGAGCGCCTCGTCTCCAGCGAGCCGTCCACCACCGCGAGCCCGGCCACCAGGGACGGGAGCTCGCACCCGGCCCGGAGCACCACGCGCGCCGTGGCCGGGCCCCAGGGAGCCACCATCTGGGGGCACAGGCCCTGGATGCTCACGTGCGTCGAAGCTGCGTCGAGCGTCCGTCGACTCGGGTCGACTTGGAGTCGACCTTGAATCGAAACTGCGTCGAACCTGAATCGAACCTGCGTCGAACTTGAGTCGAGGCAAGGTCGAACTGGAGCTGGACAGATCCGCTTGGTGGGCCCCGAGAAGGTCCTTCCACACGAGCATCTAACAGGCCCGTGTCTCCGAAGAAAGACGAAGACAGGACGAACATAACATCGGGTGAAGATAACTCGAGAATCTCTGAGATCCGGCGGCTCTGGAGGATGTCTCGCGCGCCGCCGCCTTCTCAGAGCGCCCTGGAGCGCTCAGGACCGGATCGACTCTCGTCCTATAGCCCCGTCTCCGACCCAGGCCCACATCTCCGAAGGCCCTCTCGCCAAGGCCAGCAAGACCTCTTGGAACCTTCCCGGGTCTCCTGGGCCCCACATTTGGCCCTCCGGGGGAGGCACAACTTCGGCTGGCTGGCCCCTCCTACCCAGGCAACCGACGACATGTGTTCAATCTGCGGCCCCAGAGATGCCAACCCCTCCCCAGAGGGCAGTGTGACGACCCGATCCCATTCAGTGGACGATGGATCATAACGTCACCTGAGGGCTGCAATCCAGGAAAAACGCCATTATCGGAGAAATGATATTGTCTGAGATCTTGGAATCTGCCTTTTTATTTTCGGCGATAAACCAAGTGATCCGGCGAGACGAGTGGCGGGAATGCCGTCCGACAACCTAACCCTTTCGCTTTGGGCAGCCCACGCGCGCGAATGCTGCGTACCCCCTGTGGACCTGCGCAACCGACGAGGTCAGATTTTCCGAAGGCAAAGGGGTTTGGGGGTCCGGAAACCCTGTGTATCGCCGAGGCCAACGGAGCCCGGAAGCGGCCGCCGCGCCGGCCACGGCCCCTGGATGCGCCGTTCGACACCCCAGCCAAGAAGATGCGCGCCGCGTCCACCGCCAGCGACTCTGGGAGCGTGCGCAGCACCTCGGAGGGGAACGAACAACAGCTGTGCACAAAAAAAAGTTCGGAGGTCCGAGCGGAATTCTTGCATCGGCGCTGGCGGCGCCCATGGCGCGCTGCGAGCCCCATGGTTGAGGTGCTGGGACAAGCCCAGACTACTCGGGGGGCTGGAAGAGGCCAGCTGGGACAAGTCAGGGGGGCCTGCTGAGGCCAGCTTGCACTGCCTGGGGGGGCTGTCCGTGCGCCGTCCGAAGCCTTACCAAAGGGGCATGCTGTCTTTCTTCTTGGAACACCTTGGACGCCAGGCGTGGGCCCCCGAGGCACGCATCTGCAGTTACCACCGCCTGCCCCCAGCCCTGATGATTCGGGATGCAGAACTGGGGAAACCAAGACCTCTCCCGGGGTGCGTTCTGACCAGAATTTCACGGCGAATCCAGCGGTGGCGACGAGGGCCTCCCAGGAGGCCGAAACAGAGGAAAACGAGGGAAACGTGGAGGTGAATAAGTCCTCTGAATAAAGGCGGTCTGGGGTACTGAACTCCGGTGTGGGCCCCCGAGGCGCGAAACTGTAGCTGTCCTTGACCGCCCCACGCCCTAAGGACCCAGGGGCTCTGAGCACCTCCGCGGTGTACGCGACGTCGTCAATTCCGCGCAGCAGCGCCTCGTCGCAGCGCGCAGAGGGGGGGTATGGGGGAGGGGGGCACGCCTCTTAGGAGGCTGCTTCTTAGAAGGCGCGGGCCTTTATAAGCAAGGCCCACTCTTTCTGAGAAGCAGCCTCCGTCTAGGAAGCCTTCCCACCTCTCCCTACCCCCCTCTGCGCGTGACTGAGCCTCGTCGCAGCACGTGCCAGCGTTCCACGACCGCGCCCGGCTCCGCAGGGTGGAGTTCGCCGCGGGCGCGCCGTCTACATACACCAGCACGTAGCCAGCCTGCCCAGAGATCGGTCGGCATCGCATCGGGCCTCCTCCTCCTCCTCCTCCTCCTCCTCCTCCTCCTCCTCCCCCGGCTCATACTCGTCCTCGTCCCTGCCCTCTTCTTCCTCCTCCTCCTCCCCTTCCTCCGCCATCCTCCTCCTCCTCCTCCATCCTCGTCCTCCTCCTCCTCCTCCTCCGCCTCCTGCTCCTCCTCCTCCTCCTCCCTCTCTTCCCTCTCCTCAGCCTTCTCCTCCTCCTTCTGCTTCTCCTCCTCTTTTTCTCCTCCTCCTCCTCCTCCTCCTCCTCCTCCTCCTCCTCCTCCTCCCCTCCTCCTCCTCGTCCTCCTCCTCCTCCTCCTCCTCCTCCTCCTCCCTCCTCCTCCTCCTCCTCCCCCCTCCTCCCCCTCCTGCTCCTCCTCCTCCCTCCTCCTCCTCCTCCTTCTTCTCATCCTTCTTCTTCTCATCCTCCTCCTCCTCCCTCCTCCCCCCCTCCTCCCCCTCCTCCCCTCCCCCTCCTCCTTCCTCTCCTCCTTCTCCTCCTCCTCCTCGTTCCCTCCTCCTCCTCCTCCCCTTTCATCCACGCCCAGCTCCTGGTCCTGCTCCTCCTCCTCCTCCTCCTCCCCCTCCATCCTCCTCCTCCTCCCCCTCCCATTTTCTCCTCCCTTCTCCTGCTCCTGCTCGCTCCTGCTCCTCTGCGATCGGATCGGCCGCGCAGGGATGCACAGGAACGCCATGCAAAACGTCGGCCCCCCGACGGACCGTCGGAACATCGGAGTCGAATCGGATCGGGCAGGCCGAAATTGGCGGCGAGCGAGGGGGGGGAGTGAGAATGAGAAGCCCTCTCAGAAGGCTCGGACCCCCCCAAAGTCTTCTGAGAAATGTCTGAAGCCTTCCCCGAAGACACACACACACAACTGCTCAGAAAACGCGCGGGTTCCTGAGAAGTCCCGCCATCTTCTAAGGAGGCCTTCTCCTTCTCACTCCCCCCCTGGCTCGCCGCCGACAAAAAGAACATGGAATCGGATGGAGCCTCCCTGGCCCTCTGCGTCATGTTCGTCTCGCACGTGAAGGACGAAGCGTCGCCGCCGTTCCCATGGAACATGACGATTGCGGGGTACGGCGCGCTCCGCGGGTACCCGTCCGGAACCAGAGCGTGGTAACGCCGCTGGCCGTTGTGGTCAAACCTGTGGTCGAGTAGTACGGTCTTGCCGGGGAGACGTAAGACTCGAACTGTCGAACGACTCGGGTAGAGGCTCTGCACTTGGGACCTGCTCTTGTTCAGAGAACTCCACGGAATTTGGTGGCGCGGGTGCGAGGATGAGAAGAAGGAGGAGGAGGAGGAGGAGGAGGAGGAGGAGGAGGAGGAGGAGGAGGGGGAGGGGAGGAGGAGGAGGAAGGAGGAGAGGGAGGAGGGAGGGGGAGGAGGGAGGAGGAGGAGAAGGAGGAGGAGGAGGTGGAGGAGGAGGAGGAGGTGGAGGAGGAAGAGGAGGAGAATAATGGAGGAGAATGGAGGAGGAGGAGGAGGAGACGGAGGAGAAGGAGGAGGAGGAGGAACAAGAGGTGGAGGAGGAGGAGGAGGAAGAGGAGGCGGAGGATGGAGGGGGAGGGGGATGGAGGATGGAGGATGGATGGAGGATGAGGATGATGATGAGGAGGAGAAGGGGGAGGAGGAGGAGGAGGAAGGAGGGGCGAGGAGGAGGAGGAACAAGAGAGAGAGGAGGAGGAACAAGAGGAGGAGGAGGAGGAGGAGGAGGAGGAGGAGGAGGAGGAGGAGGGAGGAGGAGGAGGAGGAGGAAGAGGAGGAGGAGGGTGCGGAGGATGGAGGAGCAGAAGAGGAGGAGGAAAAGGAGGAGGAGGATTTTTTTGTCATCAACATCAAGGATGAGTGCCCGCCCAGACAATTAGGGCAGGCAGGCTGGCCAGTGCCAGCAAAAGAGCTAACACCTGAAGACAGAGGAAAGGAGGCCACATGGACATCTCCAGCTGGCTGGAGGATTCCCCGTGGCTAGCCGCTTCTCCCCCAGGCGTTAGTCCGAGCTGGAGTCGCCCTCGTCCCGATGCGGCAGCTTCGAAACGAAAAGGGCCTCGTCATCTACCTCCTGAGGAGTGGGCGAAACCTCTTGCGACACGAGGCCAGTGGCCTGAGACTGAAACGGCGGGTCCCGCGGCGGACCGCTTGCCGCTGCCAGAAGACGCCGTGCGATCGCAGCACGGCGTCTCTCTCGTGCTTCCTCCTCCTCCGAGGCCGAGGTGGGGGGGGGGGCTCAGACGAAGGGGGAGGGGGGGGGCCTCCTCCTCCACCACGTCAGGGACAAAACCAAAAGAGTGCCTGCCCCAGGGGCCGCGCTCAACCGTGACCTCTGGGCGCTTGGGGTGGCGTCCTCTGCGGATCTGCCCCCAGTTGTTGTAAAAAGTTGACCTGGTCGCTCCTAAGCACCTGCCTCCAATCCAAGTCCAGCTACTCTGCCATGAGACGAGTAGCAGAACCACTTCGTGCAGACGACCAACGAAGCCTGATCAGAGCAAGACAACGCGATGCAAGAGTGGCCCCTTTTTTCCAGCGCACCAGATTCGAGACCCGCGATCGGCTTACATCGAGGAGCGCTCGGGGACGGGCCGTTGGTGGGAGCTCGACTTACTCTGCCACAAGTCGTGCATTTCCAAAAGCCAGGGGATGCCGCCAACTGCGCAACCTGAACAATCGTCCACTGGCATCTAGCAGACGCCGAATTCACAGAATATGAGACCGTCGGCTTAGTCCAGGAAGCTTCGCTGAGGTCGAGGCGTGGCCAACTAGGAAGCACTTTCGCAGCTAGCTGACACGCCGCACGGGACATTTTGATGTCGGGATCCAGCCTAGCAATGTCCTCCGCAGACGGCTGCGGGTGACCAAGGTATCCTTCACCGCCAGAAGCCTTGTTAGCACCGACATCAGCAAAATGATTCCCAGAACGGCACATCTTATCTAATTCAGAGGTCCATTCATCGAGTGATTGATGCGCCTTGACTTTGTGGAAAGCGTTTACCTTCCACATTTCGTGCAACAGAGACAAAGCGAAACCACTATAACAGCGTTTCGGCGACAGCGGATCCACGGGTTGCAGAGAAAAGTGATCATTGGCCAGCTGCGCATCAGCATAAAACTCCGACGGATCACTGGCGAAAAAGACGGCTTGGCAGAAGGCGGCAAATTCACCTGCAGGAGCTGTCTGCGGGTACGCCGGCGGCACGGGGCCATGCATCATGGCCCGCAAGTCGCCAGACTGGTCTACAACTGCGAAGCACCATCCAGCACGTGAAAGCTCGCGCACCACATGCTTTAAGGCGTTCCCGTCAATGAAAACGCGCCCGCTGAAATCAAAACTCTGGGGGTCCTGGGGGAGCCCTTCAGGAGCAAAGAAGGTGGCTGAGGGCTCCACCGAGGGCTTGGGAAACTAGTCCCCAGGATGCGCAAAGGCCCCGAAACAAGAAAGCACGCTACTAGGCTCCTGCAAGGCTCTCTGGATGACTTCTGGCTCCACAAGGCTCTCCCGAAGCTCCTGGGCGTCTGGGCACCTGCAGACCCAGAGGCGGTGGTGGAGGGTGTCAGGGGCGGTTCCACACTTGTCGCACATCACGCTGGCATCGTACCCGAGGCCCCTGGCTTTTTGACGAGTCCACACAGCATTGGTGGCAACAGCCCTGATGCAGCCCTTCTCAATGGCCGAGAACCGTTTGCCACGTAGAAAATGTTTGGCCACGTCGAAGCAGATACGATGAGGAACATCCCACTTAGCCCAAGCGTCCCACTCCAATCCACGAAACACAGCAGCCCGAAGGTGGAGGCGCATAAACTGGGGAGAGATGAGGGTCAAGGAGAGGATCACCCCTTGGTCCGTTGCAAAGGTGGCGAAGTCCCTCGTCGTCCAGGAGACCCTCCCCAAGGACTTGCGCATGGCGGCGACGGGGCCTCCGACTGCACGCCGCGAACATGATTCACTAAGAAAAACACCTTCCCAAGCCCGCCTCAGCCCCCTGAAACTAAGTGAGCCTTCAAAGGCCCGAACTTGGGTGCACCAAACCTCCTTGTGCCAGCGTAAAATCGGGGCAACAGAACCGATCCAAGCGGGGTCCCCTTCCAAATGAGACAAGACCGTCAGGGAGCGTTGGCCAGCTGAGGGTTTGATGGTGCTCGCCGCCGAGCGGCGCAAGTGGAGGAGCTCGTGGTCCGTGACCCCGCGCACCTCGCTGCCGTAGAGCACACCTGGGAGAGGTCCTGCCGTGAAGACCCTCAGGGTGCGTCGAGATCCTAGGGCAGAACGAAGTTTGGCAACACGGTGGGTACGCTTCTTAAAGAGCCGAAGTCTAGACTTGAGTTTCACCCCCCTCCCCCTAGTCCTCAAGCTCTTCCCCCCCGTGTCATCGATGCCCAAGTTGACAGAGCTGTCCGCGATGGGACCCGTAAACCTCGCTCCAAGAGCAGCCTGAATGGCTCGGCCAACGGCCGCCGAAGAACAGGCAAAGCTAGATTTGTCCTGCGCCACCTTCCCCCCTATACCTTCGACAATGGCCTCATGAAGCTGCGGGGCTCCCTCAACAATAGAACAAACCACGTCATTGAAGGCACCAACAGCAGACAACCCCGAATCGTCAATGTACAGGGCCAGGTCGCAACAGGGGCGGAGAACGATCCTATCCAGGGCTTCGATGCTATTCACCCTGATGAGGGTAGTGGCAAGGGAACATCCCGCCACAATCCCCGAGGAGACGAACCACGGACCGTCCAGACACCCGCCGAGGGAAAGGAAACGAGGGGCCCGATAGGCCCTGACGGCCAATCTGGCCATGGCGACGGGGAAGTCCAACCTCTCGCACCGCGCAAGCAAGCGATCAAGGTCGATCAACTCGTAGTATTTATACATGTCCCAGAGGAGAGTGGCCGCATGTTCCTTCCTGGAAACGCCACTTCCGCTCTTGACACATTGGCGCCACACAACGTCGGCAGCCCCTTGAAACTTACCAGCGGCAAAGTAGGGCCGAGCGCGCTCCCCTTCCCACTTTTCCGCCAAACCCCTTCTCGCTTTCCCCCACAGGCGATACAGGCTCATGAACATGCCGATGGGCCTGAAACCACAGGCACTGCTGCTTGGCTGGTGCGGGCACAAACAAATACACACAAATCCCAGGAGTAGGGGAACGAAGAATGACACAAACAACAAAAAACTCGAAGGTCCGCGCGAATTTCTCGGATCGGCGCTGGAGCCCCCTGGCGGCGCCGCCCCTGGCGCGCTCCGCGCGCCAGGGAGGGGGATCCAGCGCCGATCCGAGAAATCCGCGCGGACCTCCGAGTTGTTATGTTCATGCCATTCGTTGTTTCCCGACATATTCCCCATATGTTCTGATATGTTCAGCTTTTTCGTCTTCCCCCCCCCACTTCGCATACTTTCCCATCTCATCCTGGGAATCGACGGTTCACTGCGTCAGTGTGCTCTTGTTCACCTCCCGAGGTATGTTGCCCCGATCGGGTTTGCCAGACGAGGCCGTCGAGCAAACATGGAGGGACCTGAAATTCGACCCACGCCCGAGTCTCAAACTGCAAGCTGGACGGTCAACACTCATGCCGGGACCGTCAACTTGGATCAGCCCAGGGGTTACTAAGAAGGTCGGGGCATCATGCGCGGATGCCAACCAAGCTCGGTCTCATATGGCCTCACCTAGCTGATAAGTGGGTGTGAAACGCCATAAGTGGCGTAAAGGGTAATACTAAGTACCCTTGTTAAGTGGGCGGGGCCCACTCTGCCCAGTTCTGTAACCAACCCCCTTGGCCAGAAGGCTAGGATAGGCCAGATATAACCCACCTCACCATTCGCTCATGACACACCTACCTCATTAGCCTCAGCCTTAGCCCATCGCTGGCGTAACCGATCTGGTGTGCCGAAGAGCAAAAGCAGGAGGGGGTTTGGATTGGGGGTTAGCGCATCATGGCCCGACGCATGTGCGCGGACGAAGTGGGAACCGCCGACCCCCGCTTGCTGGGGGTGAAAGGGCGGGTGAGACATTTGGCTGTCCCAATCCTCCTTCCCCCATCGTGTATATATATATGTGTATAGATACATGTGTATATATCTATATGTATATGGATATGTACATCTACCTGCACCTGTACATAAATAGGTGTGTATGTCTGTATGGGTAAAAATGCATGTGTATAATATAATATATATATATATATATATATATATATATATATATAAGTGTGTGCGTGCATAGGTCGTAGTTGAGCGCAGAACGGGTACCCACGGGCTACCGCGCAGCTGGCTTGTACATGTGCAGAGGGGCGTTGCCCTAGCGGCGCAGGCGCTCTCCAGGGCCACTGGGGCTGAGCTTCGACTGGGCATTGCATGCCTCAAGGGCAATGGCGGGGCGCTCCAGAGCAAACCTCTGAGCGTCCAAGGGCCCGCCGAGGGCGAGTCAGAGCCTGTCCATTCGTTTGTCAGGGGAAGCACGATGGGCGTGCCGGCCTGAGCACACAGCGGTCCACATCAAAGGACACATCATATTCATGTATGTATCTTTCATATATGCACTTATATATACACACATACAAATATGTATACACACATACGCAGTGCCTGGGCCGTCCCACCGAACGGCTGACAAACTCGACACATGGTTGGGGAAACCAGGTAGAATGGGCACCGCTACTCCAGGCACCTCTCCCCGTGTGCGTTTCGACCAGGCCTTGGTGGGAACTCTAGCGGTGGCGACGAGGGCCTCCCACGACGCCGCCAAAAGGGAAAGACGAAGGAACGGCATAGTGGGCACCTTTCTCCGAATAGTACGGTTGCCATTGGAGGGAGACAAGGGGGAGGAGGAGGACGAGGAGGAAGGAGGAGGATGAGGAGGAGGAGGAGGAAGAAGAGGAGGAGGAGGAGGAGGAGGGGGAGGAGAGGGAGGAGTGGGCAGGGGAGGAGGAGGAGGAGGAGGAGGAGGAGGAGGAGGAGGAGGAAGATGAGGAGGAGGATGCGGAGGAGGATGCGGAGAGGAAGGAGGCGGAGGAGGAGGAGGAGGAGGAGGAGGAGGAGGAGGAGGAGGAGGAGGGGGAGGGGGAGAAGGAGGAGGAGGAGGAGGAGGTGGAGGAGGAAGAGGAGGAGGAGGGATGAGGAGAAAAGGGAGAAGGAGGAGGATGAAAGAGAGGAGGGGGAGGAGGAGGAGGAGGAGGAGGAGGAAGAGGAGGAGGAGGAGGAGGAGGAGGAGGAGGAGGAGGAGGAGGACTCGAGGACTCGAGGACTCGAGGCCGATGCGCACAGGTCGGTGACTAGCGGGCAGGCCAAAGAAAAAGTGAGTGCACGCACTTGGCCTGGAACCAAGAAGAGCACCTCATCGGCCACACGGGGGTGGCGGACGGACAATCTGGAGGGGGGGCAATCGGATATTTGTGTCAGGCAACCGTGCGGCTTGGCATAGGCGGCACACGGCTACCCCGCGACATGGCCCCCCCCCTCCCCAAAGTTGACGATATGGAAACACGTCGATCCCGAATTCCACACTGAGCAAACTCGAGACCTGACGTGCCCCGGCGGCCCCTCGAAGCCCCTTTCCAGGGGTGCGGACACCGCCGAGCAGCGCGCGTGCTGAATCGCGCGCACGTGCAACGCACAACGCACACACGCACACGCGCCGACGGAAAGCAGAGACACACACACAAAGGCGAGATGTGCACCAATGCATCTTCTGAACAATCTGCTACCAAAGCGAACGCAACTAGAAATATACGAGATGCACAAGACTGAAGAGTGCCGACGTGATATGTATCTCATCAACAGAATATTAAGAAGCCTCAACACAATGCATGTCTGCCTTCAGCCGCACTGCTGCCACAGCTCGAAGCATCTCAAGGGTAAGGCTCGGACGCGCACGTTTTATTCTGGCCTCCATCTCGGCGCGGAGCAGGGGGTCCAGGGCCCCGTCGCCCGCGACCTCCTGGACGCCCTGCTTGTTGCCGTTGTCCGCGTCGCCTGCGGTACCTGCCTTGCACTCAGCCTCGGCCTGGCGCTCGGCCTCCGCCTCGACACGACGCAGACCCGCCAGCTCCTCGGCGGAAGCCCCGCGACACTGGCTCGACTGGGACGCGAGCTCCGTCGGCATGCTCTGCACGCTCTGGTACTTGGTCCAAAGTGTGAACTGCTTCGTGGAGCTCGTCGCCAGGCCCGAACTCGGTGTCCGCCCACGAAGAACGTTGACCAAGGAGCAGGCCACCGCCGTGCGCAGCAGCTCCGCCAGAAGGATCTCCATGCCCAGGTAGCTTGCCACCACCATGGGCAGAAGCGCCACCACCAACGTCACACTCTGCACGAACGGCTTCACCAACACTTCCAGGAAGCGTGCCACCGCCATGAACAGCAGGACCGCCGTCAATCACACCTTCGGCATGAATGGCTTCACCCGCACTTGCAAGAAGAAGCTGGACGGCACCAGCTGGATGGACAGGAAGCTTGCCACCGCCGCGAGCAGCAGCGCCACCACCAGATCCACCTTCAGCTCGGACGGCTTCACCGTGAACTGGCCCAGGAAGCGTGCCACCGCCATGAGCAAGAGGCCCACCTCCAGGGACACCTTCTGCGCGCACGGCTTCACCAGCACTGCCAGGAGGCTTGCCACAGCCATGAGCCGCAGCGCCGCCACCAAGCGCACCCTCATCTCGAACTGCATCACTAGCATCGTCATGGAGAAGAGGAGCGGCCACCGCAGGCTGACCAGGCAGCTTGCCACCGCCGCGAGCAGCAGCTCCACCGCCTGCAACACCTTCGTCCCGAACGACTTCACCATGAACTGGCCCAGGTAGCTGGCCACCGCCACGAGCAGGAGCCCCACCACCAGGGACACCTTCTGCACGTACGGTTTCGCGAGCACTCGAAGAGTCAGCCTTCACCAGCGGCGCCCAATCCACGATCTTGTCCGTGGGTCCGTCCAGGGACGTGGACTGGTCCTCCGCCTCGGAATGCGACTCCACCCAGCCGCGCGCCGCGGCCAACGCTTCAGCCCCTGCACCAGGATGACGGAGCATGGAAGCTGCCGCGTCCACCGCACGGCAGGCGCTCTCCAAGCGGGGCGGCGGGCGCCGGCCTTCGCCACGGCACCGGGCCAGGCCAGCGGCCAGCGTGGCCCCGCCCATCACCGCGACGAGTTCCGCAGCCACGCCAAGCGGCCGCTGCGCCTCTCCCCCCAGGGCCGTCAGCGCCTCGGCCCCTGACGCCGCCTCCGTAGCCGCTGCGGCAGGCGCTGGCGAGGAACCGCCTTGCGCCGCCCCAGCTTGCAGCAACAACATGAGTGCTGCTGCGGCTTCAACCGTCGGGACCGTAGCCGTCAACACGCCAGGAGGAGGAGGAGGAGAGGAGGAGGAGGGAGGAGGAGGAGGAGGAGGAGGAGGAGGGGAGGAGGAGGAGGAGGAGGAGGAGGAGGGGAGGGAGGGGAGGAGAGGAGGAGGGTGAGGGAGGAGGAGGAGGTGGAGGAGGATGAGGATAGGAGGAGGAGGAGGAGAGGAGAGGAGGAGGAGGGGGAGGAGGGGGAGGAGGAGGAGAAGCAGGAGGAGGAGGAAGAGGAGGAGGAGGAGGAAGAGGAGGAGGAGGCGGGAGAGGAGGAGGAGGAGGAGGAAGGAGGAGGAGGAGAAAAAGGGAGAAGGGAGGTGGAGGAAGAGGAGGAGGGAGGAGGAGCGGAGGAGGAGGAGGGAGGAGGGGGAGAGGATAGAGGGGAGAAAGAGGAGGAGGAGGAGGAGGAGGGAGGAGGGGAGGAGGAGGAGGAGAGGAGGAGGAGGAGGAGGAGGAGGAGGAGGGAGGAGAGAGGAGGGGAGGAGGGGGAGGGGGGGCCGGCGCTGCTGCCGACGACAGCCGCGAAGCTCGAACCCAGACTCCCGAGGGCCGCCCCCGCCCCCCCCGGGGGGCTTTCGACGCCTCGTCCGATCGCGGGCAGCACGTGCTCCGGGAGTGCGCCCGGGCGGTGCTCGTTCGCCCACGGGGAGCTCCTGGGCCCGCGCGCCACGACGAGGACGGCATCGGGGAGATCGATTTGGCTGCTCAGAGCGCGCCGCCCTGGGCCCAGTTCCGGCGGTCGTTGGGGCGATTCGAGGCGACGTTGCTCTCGGTGTGGCGTGGCGGGGCGGTGAGCACGCCTACCCGCAGGCGTGGCTCTGCCTCTCAGGGCGGCGCGTGCGCCTGCCCCTTCGGATGCGGGCACGCCCGGGCCTCGGCTCGGCACTTCTGGGTCGAGTGCCCGCGTTTTGCCGGACGTCGGCTCGAGCTTGGGAAGGAGCTGCGGGTCGCGCCTGCCTGGTGGGGGGCCCAGCCCAGGGTCACCTCGAAGTCGGGGTGGATCACTAAGGTTGCTGGTGGCTCGGGTCGGCGCCGGGCTGAGCTGCAGGTGATGGCGTGCCGCCTCGGCATTGCCATTCTGCAAGCGCTTGCTGGCCTCTGCGGGGCCGGCCGCGGCGGCGGGTGGGCTTTCGGGGACGCTGTCCATTCGCCGAGAGCTTTCCGGGGCCTCCCCCCCCTCCCCTCCCTGCCCCCCTCGGCGGGCGGCGGCGCGGCGGGCGGCGGGACGAGCGACGCCGACGCTGACGACCTCCCCCCTCTTCCTCCTGGTGGTGGTGGTGGTTGAGGTGTCGGTTGCTGCCGAAGTGGCTGGCCCCGGTCGTCACATGACGTCATTCCCGCTTCGCGCCCGGGCCCCCCCGGCCCAGGGGCGTCATAATTCCGCTTAGCGCCCGGGCCCCTCGGCTCGGGGGCTTTTCAAGATGTTTCACAGCGCTTCGCGCTGGCCCCAGCAGCCAGGGCAAAGGCACCCTGCTGCTGTCATGTTTGAGGAGGAGGAGGAGGAGCAGGAGCAGGAGGAGGATGAAGAGGAGGCGGAGGAAAAGGAGGAGGAGGAGGAGGAAGAGGAGGAGCAGGAGAGAGAGGAGGAGAGGATGAGGAGGAGGGGGAGGAGGAGGGGGAGGAGGAGGAGGAGGAGGAGGATGAGGAGGAGGAGGAGGAGGAGCAGGAGGAGGAAGAGGAGGCGGAGGAAAAGGAGGAGGAGGAAGAGGAGGAGGAGGAAGAGGAGGAGGAGGTGGAGGAGGAGGAGGTCACCACGCCGCTTGGTCCGACGTGCTCAAGTCCAAACGCACCCCCTGGTCTTGTACCACAGCACGTCGGGTAGCGCCCGCTCGGCGCCCAGGAGCGAGGCCGCCGCCGCGGCGGCCCATCGCCGCCGCGGGCGCGGGGCCATCTGCGGCCCAGCTCCGAGGCACCCCTCACTTTTGGCGTCGGCGGCTAGGCAGAGGGTGACTGCGCTGGCGAGAAAGGCATGAACGGGGATTCCGCTGGAGCGAATTATGCCACCGTGCAGGAGGAGGGAGGAGGGGCGCGACCGAAGGAAAACGAGGATGGGGCGGGCGGCCAAAGAGTCAGAAGAGGCCCCCCTCACAGATGTATGTCGACTCCAATCGCAAGACTTCGTGGGGTGCTCGGCTGGACGCAACAGTTGGGGCACGACTCGGGGATCTACGAGGGGGGGCGTCCATCCTTGGTGGGAATGCGTCAGAACATCCTTCTGGGGCTGCATCCCAGAGCTTCCCCCCTTTCCTGAGCGGCCGGACTTGTCGGGCAAAACTCGATGATGGGGAGAAGAACCGCCTGCGGCCCGTCCCACCAAGCCAGGCTCAGCCAACATCGAACCAAGAAATCGGACCGAATCGGACAGCATCGGCACGGAGTCGGAGTCGCATCGGATGGGCTGCATCAGGACGCACAACAACGCCCCGCAAACGTCGGGCCGAATCGGAGCGAACGGAAGTCAGAATCGATCCGGATTGGGCCTGGCGGCATCGGTATCGAATCGGATCGACCGGATCGAAATGGATCCTGCCAAGTCAGCTTCTCGATGCATGCAGACACTACGGATAGAGCGCGTTTTCATGTTCATTCTGGCGAGTTTGCTTAGTCAACTTGCACGGCATCCCCCTTCCTCGGCCGCCATTTCAGGCAGCGCTGGGCGAAATGGGGTGAACGTGTCTCGACGTGCGTGAAGTCCCCCCTCCCGCATCCAATCAAGTCAACTTGCCAGAATCCGAGGCACAACTGCCTCATAGTACTAAGAGAACGATAGTGTAGCGCTATAGACAGCTATTAGAGATCGATGCCCCCTTAGACACCAACGCTTTTGCGCACCCTGTCCCATCCCATGGGTACATGGTTCGAGTACTCTATGCCAACTGATGTGGGTGGGAATGTCAAAGGGGGAGCCAGCAGGGGGGAGTCTGAAAGGGGGGAACGTGAAGGGGATCGATTTGGAATCGGCGATCTGTCGCCGACAGTTCGGCGACCGGCCCTGGACAGCCAATCCGGGGCGGGGTAGGCTATCGGGCCTCTGTTGGCGTTGGATGGGCGATCGGGGGATCGTGCCCCTAATACTGCCCCTGAAGATCTTCGTCGCCCTCTTTTGGGCGCTGGATCCCCCTACCTGGCTCCAGAGGCGCCGCCAGGGGCCCCCATCGCCGATCCAAGAGTTCCGCGCGGACCCCCGAGAACTTTCATGCTTGTGCCACCTTGTGATCTTCGAACAGCGTGCACGCGTCGAAACAAGCCCTGGGGAGACCAACAAGTACCGATACCACTTCGGGGATCTTCTGACCCGTGTCAATCCAGACCCGGGTCAGCGGGAAACCAAAAACTGCAATGCAGGAAAAAAAAAACTGCAACACAGGTCTTCGCAAAACCCGGGTCAGCCAATATGTGCGGCCGCCTCGCGGCCACGAGCGGCTCGCTAAGAAGGGTCAGCCAGAGGGGGTCTTCGCAGGATCCTGCAGGATCTGGCGCTCTGGCTGACCCCCGTTTGCATTGACCCCCGTCTCAAGGCTCCCGACCGCTGCTCCCTGGAGCTCTCCCGGGTGCGCCCTGACTAGAATTTCGGGGAGAGTCCAGCGGTGGCGACGAGGGCCTCCGAGGAGAGGCCCCGGAAGACGGAGAGGAGGGAAGGGCAGCGGCCTGGGAACGTTCTCCCGGCGTGCGTCCTGACAAGGATCTCGAGGCGAATCCAGCGGTGGCGGCGAGGGCCGCCGAGGAGCCCCCCCCTCAAAAAAAAGAAAACGAGGGCCGTGTATGAAGGGGCCCTGGGACACACAAATACATACACAGAGATAACTGGATCCCCCATCTATTCCCATATGTTCTGGGTTTTTGTCTTCCCCCCCACTTCCTATATGTTCCCATATTTTCCTGGAAGTCGATGATTAATTGTGTCTGTGTGTTTCTTTCCCTCCTGAGTGTAGAGGTATGGGTACGTTCTCCGGGGGTGCGTTCTGACCAACATTTCAAGGCGAACCCAGCGGTGGCGACGAGGGCCGCCGAGGAGGCCCAAAAGGAAAGGAAAACGAGGTGAGGATAGCGGTATGGGTATCTTGTACCTTTGGGTCGGGCATGTCCTCCCACAGGCGGATTTGGGAAGAAAAAGCACATAGTCGAACAAATATTCAACATAGACAGAAGAGAACGAAACATCGTTCCCAGACTAGTTTTTGAGCTATTCTGTGAATCTTCTCCTCTAGAGAGGCATGCCTGTCTGAATTGTACCTCTTCCTCCTCAGAAGAACCCCTGCAAATGCGGGCACGCATGCGCAAAAGGACGTGCGACACAGGAAACCCGCACATGCCGGGCACATGCCTGGTACATGCCGGGCACATTCCGGGCACACATGCACGCACATGCCAGTGCAAAAGCGGCCGCACATGCACCAACCCAGGGGTATAGAAACGAGTGCGGTGTACCGCTTACTCCTCAGAAGAACCCCCATTGTGCACCGATCCCATTTTAAGCAATCCCCACCGTGCCCATCCAGGAAGGGCCGCGGCCTCGGCGCAGGACCCCGTAGAGCCAAGGGTGCACCGACCTGGGCCTTCCCTCGAAGGATCCTGCAAGATCCTGCAGGAACCTGCAGTGCTTGACGCGTACCAGCGGGCTGCACGCCCTGCAGGATCGTGCAAATCCTGCAGTGCTTGCCGCGAAGAGTCCTCCTCCGAGGCCGTGGCCAAATCCCCCGATTGATCCTGCAAGATCCTGCAGGATCCTGCAAAGCTTGACGTACCTCTTGGTCACCGCCGTGTGGGGAAGACGCTGGTCATGACAGGCGAAAGGCACTGGCGATGATGGCTCCACATGGACATGCACACGACGGTACGGAGGAGGAGAAGCCACCCCCGCCACCGCCGCCTCCACCTCCACCGCTTGACGTACCTCTCCCTCCTCCGAGGCCGTGGCCGACTACCCCCACCGATAAATGCGGCCTGCGCCAAAACGGCTGCGGAGGAAACAGGGCCTGGCGCATCTCGGGGAACGGGGACCGCGGGTCCTGCAAGAGGGCCCCCCCCCTGCCTTGCCATTGCTCGGACGCCCATGTGCATTGTTCGGTTTCGCGCGCTTCTGTCTCGCACGAGGATCCAGGTTGCTGCTCGTGGCGGCGCGCACAAGGGGGTAGGGGGAGGGGGGAGGGCTTCTTGGACGCAGGCTGTTTTTTAGAAGGGCCCGGCCTCAAATTGATAGACAAGGCCCGCGCCTTCAAATAATAACAAGCCTGTCCTCCTCCCCCTACCTTTAGGTCGGGCATGTCCCCCTGCAGGCGGATTTGGAACGACAAATGAAAAATACCCCATACATACTCAGACATAAATAAGAAATAACCCCGTTCCCTGGATAATAAAGAGTACCCCCCTCAAGCCCTGAGTGGTTATTATCCCCGGGTAAAACAGATTTGATTGTAGAGAAGGATGGCGAGGCCGAGCTTGATTATCGCGGGGGGAAGTTGCGAATCACAATTACAATATTCTAATGTTGACTAACAACATCATCAAAAAGCGCTGAGCATGGCTGGAGGTCTCACCATTTCAGCTTTCGCAAGTCAGAAGCGTGTGCCAGGATCTAGTTACACGAGCGCCCAGGATCATCATCATAATCATAATCATAATCATAGTCATCATCATCCTCATCCTCATCCTCATCCTCATCCTCCTCATCATTCTCCTCCTCCTCCTCCTCATCATCATCATCATCGTCTTCATCATCATCATCATCACCACCACCACCATCATCATCATCAGCAGCATCATCATCATCATCATCATCATCATCATCATCCACATCATCATCATCAGCATCATCATCAACAACAACAACACCAACAACAACACCAACAACAACAACAACAACAGCAACAGCAACAGCAACATCCTCCGCCGGGAAAAATGTTTACTATCCCCCCTAGACCCCGAACTTCATCATCCGCAGGGTTTCTAATCAGGGGTATTGGGTCAGTTCAGAAATCGTCCCCTGACTACTTCTTTACTATCTTGGAGTATATCCCTCCCGTAGAGGGACACGCCCGACTCAACCCTGCCTTCCCCTGCGCGTGGCCGAACCTCGACGGCCCTCGCAACGAGAACACGCACGTCCGAGCGAGGCCCGGCTGCCGCTTGGAGGCGCCCTCCCCCAGCACACCCCCTGGGCCTCCTCAGTCCCCCTACATGGGGATTTTGGGTTGAGTGTGCCCCGCGGGTCAGCGTTGGGGGGGGGGCACTACGTCAAGACGGGGGGCGGCGACACTACACTCGGCACCTTCGTACGTCAAGACGTTTGGCGGCGACACTTCGTTCGTCAAGACTTTCGGGGGCGATACTTCCTAACGACGCATTGTTTTTTCATTTCCTTTGGGGTCGCGATTTTTTGAGGCAACTTATACTTTACGAAACACTTCGGGACATATAGCACTAGCATAACCGAGCGCGCAACCTAACAGCGGCACACATTATGATCCGTGGCCCTCCCATAACGCCCATAACTCGGGCCAGCCGTGACCATCAATCGCCCACGGGTGGAACTACTGCAGAGCGTGTATGTGGGGTAGGAAGAGGAGGAAGGCGAGGGACGAGGAGTAGGAGAAGGGCGTAGGAGGAGTAGGAGGAGGGTGCGGGAGGAGTGGAGAAGTCGGAGTAGGATGAAGAGGAGCAGGAGTTGGGCGAAGGAGGAGTGGAGGAGCATGGAGAAGGCGTGGGAATAGGAGGAGGAGGTGTCGGAGGAGGGCGGAGGGGGAATGGAGGAGCAGGAGGAGGGCGAAGGAGTAGTGAAGGAGGGAGGGGACGGAAGTAGGAGGAGGACGGGGGGAAGGCTGGAGGGGGGAGAAAAAGCAACCCAGGCGAACAGCAAAAGCTGGAGGAGGTGACGACGACGACGTCGACGACGACGACGATGATGTCACGCCTCTCGCCGCCTGACGTCCTGGGCTCTCCCGCCGCCTGGCCCGCGCCCACTCGCGGAGCCAAGCGCTCGCAGCAGTGGGCGATGGCGGCACGAGCCACGAGGGGTCCCCTCGCAGGCTTGTTTCTTGAAACAAGAAGAATGCCTCGCTCGCGCGGGCCACCTCACCCATCACCCCTATCATGATTATCATCCTCCCTCTCATCATCCTCGTCGTCCTCCTATTCGTCATCACCGTAATCAGCATCATCAGCATCATCAGCATCATCGTCGTCATCACCACCATCATCATCATCATCAGCATCATCATCATCACCATTGCCATCGTCATCGTCATTGTCATCGTTATCATCATCTTCGCCACCGTCACCATCATCATCCTCATCGGCATCATCATCACCACCGTCACCATCATCGTCGTCGTTACCATCAGCATAGTCGCCATCATCATCAGCATCATCGTCGTCGTTACCATCATCAGGTTGATGATGTATCCTCCTCATCCTCCTCCTCCTCATTCTCCTCCTCCTCCTCCCTCTCATCCTCCTCATTGTCTGACCCCCCATATCCCCACCGCGAGGTGGCCTAGGGAGGCTCCGAAAAGTGAGCCTGCCTCCCTAGCGCTTCGCGCGCTTCAGGCCAGCTGGCCTGGAGCTTGGCGCGCCACGCTTGGCGCCCGCGGCTGAGCTCGACGCCCCGCCGCTGTCGTGCTGCTCCTGCTTGGTCTTGGTCGCCGTGCCCTGGCTCGGCGGCCCCGTGCCCTTTGGTTGGGGCGTGTAGCACTGGCTGCCGCTGGCCGCGCGCGCCGCCCCTCCACAGCAGCCGCTGGAGCCATCGGCGGCAGGCGGAGCCTCGGCGCCGGCCGCGGCTGGCGCGCCACGATCCTCTGCCGAGATCGCCTCGAACTCCGCCCTGAAGCACGTGGGCACGTCCTTCGCCTTGTCCGTCTTGTAGCGCTCCAGGAACGCCGCGGCCCTCGCAGGGCCCGTCGGGGGGGTCTTGGGATCCTCCAGCAACTGCACGCCGCGGGTCATCGCCACGACCTGGTTCGCCTTCGCCTGCGCGGCTAACAAAAGTGTGCGCTGCACCATCTGGGGCGCCATCAGAGCATCGCCGTCGTCGTCGTCGTCGTCGTCCCCATCCCCCTCCCCACTTCTATGTAGGAGGGGGGTGGGTGGGTACTGAAACTGCTCCGATGGCGCCCCAGGTGGCGCAGAGCGCCCCTTTGCAAGGCCGATGGCCATGCACGTGACGCCCGTCGCGACGGCCTCCGCCGTCAGGCCGTGCTCGGCCACGGTAGGCACCAACTCCAGGAGCTTGCCCGCCCTGACCAGGTGTGACATGCTCTTATGCACCTTGTTGTAGGCGTTCACCACGCCCTGCTGGTTGTTGAACAGCTCGAGGCCGAGCTTCTCGTTGAAGCGTCCGCTCGAGTCGACCGCCGCGTCGAGCTCTGGAAGTATCCCTTTGCACGCCTTGGAGTGGCACTGGAGGACCGCCCCCAAGTTCTTGAACAGCTGGTTGCGGCAGCTGCGCGAGTAGACTGCGAGCGCGCTGATCCACTGCCTCGCGCTCTGAGGGGTGACGGTCAGCGCCCAGCCCTGCTTCTCGAACTCGTGGACCTCCTTCGAGCTCAGGAGCTTGTCCATGCGTGCCAGCGCCCTCCCCATCATGCGCTGCGCATGGGTGAACTTGCCGAACATGTCCTCCTCGCTCGCCTTCTGGTCCATGTAGAGGTTCGAGTGCAGCTGCGCTGCGATCCCCGCCAAGTCCTTCACCTGCGTCACGATGTCCAAGTACAACTTCGCAAGATCCACTGGCATGCGAGCCCCGAGGCCGTCTTTAGAGGCGCCTGGGATCAAGATGTCGCTAATGGAACCTGCCTACATGAATGACACCAAGTCTGAGAACGCCTTGTTGTACGGAACCGCCTCTACAACTGCATCGTCGATCTGAGAGCCGTCAGCCCATACAACGCCTGGCAGCAGGACGGCAGTGATGTCGGCGTCAGTGACCAGCCTGGCGAAAGCGTGCTCCTGGGCGATCTCTCGCACGGGCGATCTCCGCGAGCAGGCCATTGACAAAGTTGTCGGCGGCGTCGGTGTAGATGGGCGTGCCTGGGCGAGAAGCCCCCCGACGAGCGCGCCCCTCGCCGTCGCCGACCCCCTCGACACCTTCAAAACCACGAAGTAAACCATCACACAATGTAAAGAGGAGCTGGGTGGAAACCTTCAAAACTCTTCAAAATAGCTGGGTGGAAACCTTCAAACACACATCATGGTTAAATGCTGGGGGGTCGGCGCGGCGAGGATGCGCGTCAGCGAAGAGCTGCCCTGCGAGCCTACGTCGTTGACGAACTGCCTGAAGACATCGCTCACCTTCAGGACGCGGCACCGATCGGTGGCCAAGCTGTCGGCATCGAACTCGAAGATCTCCCGATTCATCCAGTTCAACATGCCCGCAAACTTGACCACAGTGTTCGTGAACTCCTCCTGCTGCTCAGCGATCTGCATGACATGTGCCTTCATATCCGTAGGTTTCACGCAGTACTCCATGAATGTGAGCATCTCCTTCAGCAGGTCAGTGGCATGCCCGATGGAGCTCTGAAGCTTGACTGGGTTAGAGACGAACTCCTCAGGCAACTTATCGTAGATAACCTCGCCCACGCGACCGAATAAGGCCACCTTGGCGTTCTCCCACCTGGTGTTGATGTCCGTCAGGGTGTTGCCGAAGCTGGTGATGCTTTCCTTGACGAGGACCGCCGTCGCGGAGAAATGCTCGATGGTCTTATCGTGTGATGCCTTCACCTTCATGATGGCCCCATCGTGCTCGGACTTCTGATCCATATCCATCAAAGGGTGCCCACCATCACCCCCCTGAATATCGTACCCGTTAGTGCGCGCTAGTAGCGCGTCGCTGAGCGTCGGCATTATAGGCAGAACGAGCTCGCCCCATATGTCGATGAGCATGTACCTGCCGATCCTGATGAGGTCCATTGAGTTCGACAGGTTGCTCGCCATGTAGTCGAGGTTCGAGTGCACCGA